CTCCATCCATCCTAGACCTAAGCCTTGGTGCTCCAGGGGTTACTGCTCACTCCATCCATCCTAGACCTAATAGACCTAAGCCTTGGCACTCCAGGGGTCACTGCTCACTCCATCCTCCCTAGCCCTTATAGACCTAAGCCTTGGTACTCCAGTGGTTACTGCTCACTCCATCCTTCCTAGACCTTATAGACCTAAGCCTTGGTACTCCAGGGGTCCCTGCTCACTCCATCCATCCTAGACCTAATAGACCTAAGCCTTGGCACTCCAGGGGTCACTGCTCACTCCATCCATCCTAGACCTAATAGACCTAAGCCTTGGCACTCCAGGGGTCACTGCTCACTCCATCCATCCTAGAACTAAGCCTTGGTGCTCCAGGGGCTACTGCTCACTCCATCCATCCTAGACCTAATAGACCTAAGCCTTGGTTCTCCAGGGGTCACTGCTCACTCCATCCATCCTAGACCTAAGCCTTGGTGCTCCAGGGGCTACTGCTCACTCCATCCATCCTAGACGTACTAGACCTAAGCCTTGGTACTCCAGGGGTTACTGCTCCCTCCACCCATCCCAGCCCTAATAGACCTAAGCCTTGGTACTCCAGTGGTTACTGCTCACTCCATCCTTCCTAGACTTAAGCCTTGGTACTCCAGGGGTTACTGCTCCCTCCACCCATCCCAGCCCTAATAGACCTAAGCCTTGGTACTCCAGGCGTCACTGCTCACTCCATCCTTCCTAGACCTAAGCCTTGGTACTCCAGGGGTTACTGCTCACTTGGACATTTATTCTCTGCACCCCTTGAATATGTTGTACGGAATTGAAGGGATGCAGCTAGCTATTTGATTGGTCTCCAGTAAAAAAAATCCTGACAAATTGCTACACTGATACCTGTCATTTGAAGATATCAAAGGATTAACACCCAACTTCCAAGCCAGTAAGACAATGGGGACTAAACTTTATATAAACAGAGGGTGTGCATATTGAAAAAAGGGAGAGTGTGCAGAGGGGAGGGCCAAATAGAGGAAATCAAGTTAAATCTTCTGTATTATTGGTGGGATTTAAGTCAATAAAAATATCATGTTTCTGTAAAGATTTTTATAATCTGGTTGATCTGTCAGAAAAAAAAATCATATTTAAATGCAATTGGCAAACATAAGCATAGCGAGACCTATTGTCACTTTGGACTATTATGATATTCATCTGGTTCCTGTGGCTTTTATGCGAGATATCACATTTAATCATTCTATGTTTAATCACTATAATCCTTAAAAACCTGATAAATACTATATTTAGTCACTGCAGTCCTAACATACCCAATTAATATCATCTTTAGTCACTACAATCCTTACATACCAGATTAATATCATATTTAGTCACTGAAATCCTCACATACCAGATTGATAACATATTTAGTCACTATACAATCCTTACATACCAGATTAATATCATATTTAGTCACTATAATCCTCACATACCAGATTGATAACATATTTAGTCACTATACAATCCTTACATACCACATTAATATCATATTTAGTCACTGAAATCCTCACATACCAGATTGATATCATATTTAGTCACTATACAATCCTTACATACCAGATTAATATCAAATTTAGCCACTGAAATCCTCACATACCAGATTGATAACATATTTAGTCACTATACAATCCTTACATACCAGATTAATATCATATTTAGTCACTGAAATCCTCACATACCAGATTGATAACATATTTAGTCATTTATATTCAGTCACTACAGTCTTTGAAAACTAAATTACATACAATTGGACAAAATTAAAACTCAGAACTAAATCCAACTTTTTTATTTTCAACCAATGTATTTTCTATTCAGAAGAAATTGTTAGTACAAACTGTTTATAACTTCCTCATTAGATCCTAGTGTGAAGGTCAACTATATGAAATTAATTTCACTAACTCATGACAAGTTTAATATGATTTTTTATTCATTAAAAATCTTCATTTATACAAAAATTCGGAAAATATGACTTTATTGATATAACATCAAGGTAACAGACTCAGGAACTTCACAAACTAAACAGGAAGTCATGTCCAGTTCCTTAATTCTTGTTCATAAGTAAAACAGAGCAAAGATAAACACATCAAAGACAAAAATATTTTCAACATCAATTGTAAACCCACATAAATCATATTGCAGAACTCTTCATTTACACTGACAGTAGTTTTAGTATATACAACATAACATGTTTTTTCAATTAAAACAGAATACTCCATTATCACACTCGTGATTCTATTGAAATACATAAGTTTACTGTCTTTATTTATAAAAGAAAAATTTGGTTTCAAGGTTTGATTATAAATTTTAAATGATTACAAATAAAACGATTTATATCTCTGACAATATTAAAGTCAATGAAGCAACATTTACATGGGCGCTATCCAACACATTTATCAAAAAGGTTCACAACTTGAGAATCATTCTTTGATCACATAAGTTACCCAAACACATACTATGTAGTAGCTTGCGGAAGTGATGTTTAACTGACATGTAACTAACATAGTTCTTTAGTTTTACAGTTTCAGTCCTGGATCAAATTTGCTAGGTTTAAATTTCGTAAAAGTGCCAACACCCTTAAATAACATCGTAATCTACATTCATCAGATGGACAATAAATTTCCATTGGGTTGTTTTTTACAAAGATAAAACCTGCACTACATATGAAGCACTACAGTTTCCTCCATCCTTCCAAAAAGAGGAATTTTTAAATTATATTTGTTTTTGACCATAAAGAGGAGAAGAGGAATTTTAAATCCTTATGACAAACATTCCAATACACTTCCTACAAGTAAACAAAACAAAGTCTGACTATCAGGAGGTGGAATTGCACTAACACTTGAACCCGAACCCAAAATGAATGACATTGACTAAAACAATGTGTCACTAAAAAACAAGAAATGTCTACACCTATAATATATCTGTATATATATGTACTTGAATATGATTCAGCCTGGTTTGTGGTTTATCACAAGGTGACTAGACTATACTCCAAGTATCCTCCCACTCTAGATCTCTTAATTAACCCAGCTCACTTATATATCACCTCCACAGTCCATAGTGTGATACTGACCACACGCTCATAGATTCCACACACACAAGGGAGGCATGCTCTTAGATCTTCACTGCAGTAATTAAGATGAAGGAAATGTTATATCTTCAAATGTGATGATATAAGGTCTAGTAATGATTTTGAAAAGACCAGATATCGAATGGTATTTTCTACTTACAATGTACTGCCTCAGATATTCTGTCCAGCTGTGTATGAAGGGATGGTAGAATAAGTGGTTGCTTTTGTTCATCTTTGGGACATGCACTAAGGTTTACGTTATTAACATACCTGCATAATTGATAATATTTTTGTAAGCAACTCTTACTTTTCTTAATAGCAGAAAACCGTAGCATGTAGCCCATTCAGAATGGTTCACAGACTTGTTTGACATCATTAGAGCCTTGCATCAAATATTACTTTACTAATTCCCACACTTCTTTATGCAGCAATATTTTCATCATTTGCTTTTAAAAACGTAAGAAATAGAATTTTTTATGGTTTTCCGGTCAAATAACATATATATTTCACCCACTATGGAACAATATACAAAATGTACAAATAATTTCACTTGTACTATGTATGCACTTGTGAAAAAATATTGGTATTCTGCCCTATCTATCAAATATACATGGTATTCAATGGGAAGCCCTTCAATACCCTCTATATATCAATAGGACACCTCCACCTACATGGAGGTACTAAAGGGGATTACCTAGTAGAGTAAGGCTGCTCCACGCTCTCCTGCACTGATCGTGTCAAACATCTGTGAATGTTCAACGACTTATAGTAATTCCCTTTAATGATATAATGTTCTTCCAAAAATCACCATTATGTAAATAGTCTTCAAGTTAAATATGTGCAGTAATGATTTGTAACTTTTAATGAAAATTAATCTTTCTACTATACTTAAAAAAAGGATTAGAACCAACGTCAGTCCAAAAGTAGGTAGGTTGTTCAGTGGGGTGCTGCGCTTGGGTATGGATACCCAAGGTATGCAGGGCAATTGATGAAATATGACCATATAATTAGAAGGGTATTAATCACAACATGCTCAAGAGACACCAGTAAGTTGGTACTTATTTATTGGCCGACTAGTTTCGCCTCTATGTTTCGAGGTTTCATCAAGACCTATACTTGGTATGTTCTTATTTACTGTAAAAATACTTATTTTAGCGCTTTATCTAAAGGAACTCCAACATTTGGCACAGTCCTTATTTAGCTCATGTCGAAAACACAAAAAGCGCTAAAATATGATTTTTTTGTTACAATCATCAGCATAAGGTGTGAAGTAGTATAATACAACACAGAATCGTGAAACTAACAGGAAGTGAATCATAAAATAATATATATCATAAAATAATATATATCATAAAATAATATATATCATAAAATAAATCAGTTCTGTCTTGATCAAAGTTGTTATGGCCAGTTAACAATAAAATAAGGAAACACCATGAAAGGCCAGATTGCATGGTCTCGTGTTAGCCGAGTACTGAAACAGACACTGGAATTACACTGTGCTAGCTCAATGATGAAATATTAACTACTACAAAGTCTCTTTATTACTCTTTCTGTTGTTATCGAAAAAATATTTTGTATATTTTCAAATTGAAAATGTTACCATCATAAATATATCAATTACACAAAACCGATTATATCCTTGGCAAATACTTTTGATAAAAAAATAAAAAATAAAACACATACAGAACAACATGATCCTAATTTGGTTTATCAGGTAGCGACGTCCTTCATGATCATTTGACCTTCATCGACATTGTATGTACCTTGTGATATATAACAAAAAATAACAATGAGAACATAGAACCTAACATGTATATACATCTGAACTATCATGGAATCCTGTTTCTTTGCGCCGGAAATTTCTCAAATGCTGACAAATGCAAAAGCATGCTGGATGTACATGCATATCAGAAAAAAATATTTCAATCACAAAATACTTTATATGGCATTTAGATTGGGCAAAATACCGATAAAAATAGCCTCCCTTTCATGCAGGAATTTTCGTGTCATTTCCCACAATTTTGAGATATCAAATTGTTGCATTACTGATCACTGATGAGAGCGTTGTCAACAAAAATCTGGTCAAGGAAACAAAGGAGGCCAGTCAACACTGGGAACACCTCCATCTGTGTACAGGTGGGGAATACTCATTTAGTATCACAGACTCGTCGGCTCCTGTAACAAACAATACACATAGTTATAGCCCTGACTTACCCTATAACAAACAGTACAAATAGTTATAGCCCTGACTTATCCTGTAACAATAGTACTCACAGTTATAGCCCTGACTTATCCTGTGACAATAGTACAAATAGTTATAGCCCTGACTTATCCTGTGACAAACAGTACAAATATTTATAGCCCTGACTTATCCTGTAACAATCAATACAAATAGTTATAGCCCTGACTTATCCTGTAACAAACAGTCGAATAGTTATAGCCCTGACTTACCCTGTAACAAACAATACACATAGTTATAGCCCTGACTTATCCTATAACAAACAATACACATAGTTATAGCCCTGACTTATCCT